CCTCCTCCATAAGTGGCTGGTCAACAGTCCCACATCCTAGGACAGTGACCTCAGTGGACTCCACAGGAATACTGTCCAGGAATTCCTCATGGCCTCGAATGCTCCTCAGCCTGGCCACCTCCTCCTGTAGCTCTCCCACCTGCGCCCTGAGAGATTCCACCAGCAGGCACCTTTCACAATGGTTGTCTCCCCCAGCCTGGATATCAGTCAGTGGGAATTGCAGGCCACAAATACTGCAACACCACACCAGGACCTGGGTAGAGGCATCCATGCTCAGGTTCTGTCTGGATACAGGCACAGGTGGAGGAGACAGGAGAAGTACTGGCACAAGCGCTTCAGGTCTGCCCTGAGAGATTCCACCAGCAGGCACCTTTCACAATGGTTGTCTCCCCCAGCCTGGATATCAGTCAGTGGGAATTGCAGGCCACAAATACTGCAACACCACACCAGGACCTGGGTAGAGGCATCCATGCTCAGGTTCTGTCTGGATACAGGCACAGGTGGAGGAGACAGGAGAAGTACTGGCACAAGCGCTTCAGGTCTTCATCACCATCAGTCACTCCCTCTGCTCAACTCCCTCTTCAACTCCCCTGTAATAAGCCAGTTCCTGCTCCAGAGAGCTTTCAACCTTGGCATGTGCTGAGAAGGGATAGGGACAGGGCAAGGTAACAGAGCGCAGACTGTGCATGGTGATGGTGGCCGCTCACATAGTGTTTTGCGTGCGGTGTGGTGGAGATGCAATTCAAGGGCTGTGCAGTGGCCCTGCTGATTTTCACAGGGAATGCCTTCCAGGCATGAGGGGAACAAGAGAGAAAGCACAGAGATGGCCCATGGTCTGCGAAGGCTGAGGGAGGCTGTCTGGATAATCTATTAGGTGGGTAGGGTCGAGTAGGGCAGAATGTTAAAGATGAAACCAAGTAGCTTGTGTTTGATGCTGGAGAAGGAGGATCCCATTGAGGGACCCAAAGAGGAAGGTGACACAGTCAGAATGATCTTAGCAGCAATAGGGATCAAGATGGGATGGAATCACAGACATGTAGGGCTGGCAGGGACCCCAAGCATTTGTCTAATTCAGCCCCTCATGCTGAAGCAGGACTAAGGAAACGTAGACACATTCCTGCCATGGATGGTCTAACCTGTTCTTAGAAACCTCCAGTGTCGCAGAGTCCGCAGCCTCCCTAGGTAATCTATTCCAGCACTGAGCTTTCTGTAGTCTGAAAGTTTCCCTGACAGCTAGCCCAAGTCTCCCACGCTATAGTGAAGCCAGTCATTTCCTGCTCTACCCTGAGAATGCTTAATCACTGTTCTCTTTATAACAGCTCTTCACATATGAGGAGGCTGTTTTCAGGTCCCCTCAGCAGGCTGTCCTAAAATTCTGCTTGTTAAACTGCTGCTGTGTTCCACCCCAGAGAAGGCTGCATTTCAGATCTGGGGAAGTGACTCCTGTGTCTAGTCTGTAGTACTCCTTGGATCCTCTGGGAATGCCAAAAGCTGTCATGGCTCTGGGTGGACAGCTACAAAGCTGGGCTGGGCATGCTCTTACAGGAGAGTGGCATGATCCCCAAATCCTCTCAGCAGGCAAAATTAGCTGCAATTTTCAGGCTGATCTGCCAAGAGTCTGTCCAGGACAGAGCCATGCCCAGAATAAAGGTGGGAGGCTGCAGGCCAGAATTGAGAGGCATAGGCAGAGTGGAGTGGATGGGCCAACACTGGAATGGTAAGGTGAGGGGAGCTGTGGATCAGGAATGAGGGCATTGATGCAGCTGGAGCTAGGGCCCCAGGACTGGGAGAGCAGGGGGAGTTGCTAGTCAAGATGGCCAGGCACTGGCACAGCTGGGGTAAGGCAGGACACTCGGTGGGGTCCCCCTGGCATCACCGCCATCTCCAGAGCAGGCACTGCTGCCTCTGCCCTGCTGGGGTTAGTGAGTGGAGCACATGTCCCAAGCCCAGCCGTGCCTGGGCAGGAAGTTCCCAGGGAGCTGAGTCATGCGGGGAGGGTTGTTGTGGCTTGTGGGTTGTTGGTTGTTGTAGTGATGGTGCGTGTGTTGGTGCCTAGTCTATATTTAGAATTCCCAGGGAGATGTCAAAACTAGGCACAGCCCCTGAGTCTAGTCCAGAGGAGCCTCTGAGTCCAGGCCTGGTTCTTCTGCTGGGGGCTTCCCTGCTCTGCCTCTGGGGAGCGCTCTTTTTCATCCCCCTCCCTGCCCCCTGTGTCCCCTCTAGCTGTTCCCCTCCCCCAGCCTGTGCACCATTTCCCAACTGCACCCAGGTTCCATCTCCCATCTATCTCTTGGGTCACCACCTGGCCAATATTTGACCAGCCCTGCCAGGATTTTGTGTGGATTTACCTGTTGCTAGAAAAATAATTAAATTTTCCGGGTTTTTTTTTTTTTTTTTTTTTAATGTGGGTCTAAAGGTTTGCATTGTTGTCACAATAGACGGGGATAGCCGCTGTTCAAAGTTTCTGCATTCAATTAAAGAGGCTGGAGTAGTCCCACTTCTGCAGTTTAAGTGCTGGCAGATGAAGGCGGTTAAAAATACAACAGCCATCCGCCCAGCAGCACACAAGTGCAGCGAGCCCCTGTGAGAGAAAGTTTGGGTCACGCCAAAGTGAGTAGAAGTGTGAGGTGAAGGAAGAGCAGGGCGAAGGTGGGAGTGATCCTCCCCCCACAACCCCGGGGAAAAAAAAAACGCTAACAGCAAAAAACCTGCATATTAGTGACAGCTGGCTGAATGAGACAGACTACAAAGAGTGGCTTGCAAGCTGTGCTGATAAAACAAACCTTCCCTTTGTTATCAGTCATGTCTAGACGTGTTATCTCTCTAGATACTATAAGGGGGTGGGGGATGTTGCGGAGTGGCCTTGTGGTGGGGGGTTGGGCTTGCTTGTGTGGAGGATGCTGGGTTTTTGGGTGTTTCGGAAGGGGTAACTCCATCTGTCTCCTGGCGCCCTCAGCTGCTTGCCATTGACTGCCTGGCTCCTGCCTGCAGGCCAAGGCAGCCTGGCTTGTTCACTTCTGACTGACAGGAGCACCTGAGGGGAAGGCACAAGCTGGCTGGCCACCCAGCAGTTCCTGCCCTCCCTGTGGCTCTGAGATACTCTGGGATGGAGTGCAAACCACAGGGCACAGTGCTGGAAGCCCCTGGTGGTCCATGCATCCAACCCCACTGGGCCCTGGGGCTCTGCCTGCAGAGCACATGGGGCATCCTTCTGTATCCACAGGGCTACCCAGGGATCTTGTGGGGGTGGAGTATATGGCCCAGAATCCCTGGGAGGAAGCTGCTGTGACTGCAACCCTCACCTCACCCCGCCCCATGTTAACTCTTCAGTGCCTGGGTTCTGTGCGCCCCAGGGATGTGACTGGCTCTTGTGACGTAGTGGGCAGCAGGCTGGAGGAACCCATGTGGCCTGCCTGGGCAGGGAAGATGTTGAGGTAGAAGTGGGGAGGGATACAGTCTCCAGTTCCAGTCACTCGGCAGGGAAGCTGTAGGGAGCAGAAGGCTGGGGCAGATATGGTGGCTGACCTCACTTCCTTGTTCCTCAGGTGACTGCTGGCTGTTGGCTGCCATTGGCTCCCTCACCCTCAACGAGGATCTCCTGCACCGCGTGGTGCCCCATGGGCAGAGCTTCCAGGAGGACTATGCTGGAATCTTCCACTTCCAGGTGGGGCCAAAGGCCAGGCAGCTCCCTCCCCACAGCGTGTGTTGCAGAGCCAGCCCAGGCCTGCCCCATGGCTCTGGCCTGCTACACTGAGTAATAGAGACTTGGCCCCTCTCTGCTCCCAGCTCCACAGCTGTCTCTGTCCAGAGGAGCCTGGTCCTGCCCCACTCACCCCCAGCTCTCCTCCCTCCCCAGATCTGGCAGTTCGGCGAGTGGGTGGACGTGGTGGTTGATGACCGGCTGCCGACCAAGGACGGGGAGCTGGTGTTCGTGCACTCAGCAGAATGCACTGAGTTCTGGAGTGCACTGCTGGAGAAGGCCTATGCCAAGTGAGTGCCCTCCCAGCTGGGCCTGGGGCCAGCGAGGTTGGGGAGGGTGTGCGGCTGAGTGGGGAGCACATCTCTGAGGACTTCTCCTCGGATTTGGGGAGCAGCCCGTGAGTCCCGGTGCTGTCTGCCCTGGCTCATCCCCGGCCTTGTCTGGGCTGCAGGCTGAACGGCTCCTATGAGGCCCTGTCGGGGGGCAGCACCACAGAGGGCTTTGAGGATTTCACCGGCGGCGTGTCGGAAATGTATGACCTCAAGCAGCCGCCCAGAGACCTATCCAGGATCATCCACAAGGCGCTGGAGAGGGGATCCCTGCTTGGCTGCTCCATCGACGTAAGGGGTTTTCTCTGCCCTTCCCTAAGGGATTGTGGTGTGGGGAGCTTGGGGCCCTTTCCTCTCCTTCTACCACTGGCTCTGAGGCCAGATTGCTCCTCGCGGTGCCCAGCTGCCCCGGGGAAGATATAAAATAGCCCTTGGCTGGGTCACAAGTCCCTCAATAGAGAGGCTAATCCCCAGCTGGTCTCCCACCCCCACCCCTGCAGGGCTGGCCGAAGAGACCCCCACCAGATCCCTCCCATCTGAGGTCAGCATGGCCCCCTGCTGAGCCCCGGGGGGAGGGGGGGGCCGGAACTGGGTTAGTCCTGGCAGATGTCGCTGGCAGGGGAGTCCTGTGGGTGCAAAAAGACCATTCATGCCCCTCTGCCCCACTGGAGGGTTTTGGAGCAGGCATGTGTCTACTTGGTGCCCCCTTGTGGTGACATAGCGAATCCACACCCACCGAACAGTCATTTCCTAGGGGGCCAGAAAACCAAGACCTCCCCTCAAACAACTCTTGGGTTGGGTCAGTCCAACCCTCTGAGGAGAGGACCCGTGGGGGGGGGGAAGAGGCTCCAGCATTAGCCCCCCAACCAGAAGGGTCCCAGGAGATGTACTGTGCAGTAGGGGGATTCCCCTCGCCAGACCTTTGCCTTAGGTACAGGCATTCACACACTGGGCAGTATCCATTCATCTCTCCCTGTGTCCCATGGAACCCATCACATTGCAGCCATCACTTCAGCAGAGCCCTCGGGGTTGCTGCTGCAGGGAGGGCGAGCGAACTCTGTCCAGGCCAGTCCCACCTGTGGCAGCTTGCCAGGAGCCCAGAGATTGCTCCCAATGTGCTACAGGGACTGCACCTTTGCTCATTTAATAGGGAGACTGTTGCTCCCCGCATGCAGTGCGGTGAATGGCAGGGCTGCTGGAACAATGCATGCTGGGGCTTGTAGTCGCCATGGACAGCATCTCCCAATGGGAGGAGCTTTGTTTTGGGTACCTCGAGCCAGTGCTGGAACAGTTTGTATAGTAGGAATGCTGACTGACAGCCATTGACCCAAGCTGTAAGTCCTGTGTACCATGGAAACCTCTTCAAGCCAGGGGGTGCAACAGCCCCCCAGAAGCCGTAGATCCAGCCCCTATGCCTTGAAATGCTTTTGTTGTATTGCGCTAAGGGCAGGCGTTTGCCAGGCTGGCACTTGAGGCACAGGCAAGGGTGAGGTAGCTAACTCCCCATGGCAGCTAAATAGATTGGCCCACATCTACAGTCCTGATCCTCTGTGGGGCCCCTCTCTGGGGCTGGAGCGGCTCAGGATGGGGGCTCCCTGTGGGCTGGCAGCAGGACGCAGGTGTCAGTGTCTCCTTAGCTAGAAGAGGAGGTGCTGGCTCTGGACTGGGGGAGATGCACTGATGCCTTGTCCTTTCCCCTCAGATCACAAGTGCCTTTGACATGGAAGCAGTGACCTTCAAGAAGCTGGTGAAGGGACATGCCTACTCTGTCACAGGCTTTTCCGAGGTGAGCGGCTGCCTGGGACCTAAAGGAAATGCATGGCTCAGCCAGTGGTATCAGTTTAACCTTTTGATCTCTGAATTTTGCCAGGTGGATTACCGGGGTCGCCAGGAAGAGCTCATCCGAATCAGGAACCCCTGGGGTCAGGTGGAGTGGACTGGAGCCTGGTGCGACGGGTGGGTGAGAAACGGCTGCCAGGCCGGCCACGCATGGTACTGCTAGGAGGGAGCGCTTGCAGTGTGTGGTCTGGGTGCCATGCGTGTGGCACTGCTAAGAGAGCTCACAGCTCGCCATGCCAAGGCTAATGGGGTAGTTGAGTCACTTAAAAGCTGGTTCCCCCCAGCACTGTCTCCAAAAGGGGGTTGGGGAGGCAGAGGCACAACAGGGTGCGAGCTGGGACTCAGCTGTCCTGGCTCACACCTGGTCCCTTGCTGTGCCTCTGCTTTTTAAATGTAGTAAATGCCACCCGGCTCTTAGAACATTTAAAAGGCAGAGCCAGGGCGGGGTTAGCTCCCAAAGCTGGTAGCTATCCCCCTTGTGACTCTGTAGTTTCCCCTCTTATCAACTAATCACATCATTAATGGAAATTCCATCAACTACTCAATTAGCTGATTAAATGCAATGTAACATCCTTAGCACTGGGGCACCAGGCAGGCTGGCATAGCTCAGTGTCGGTGTGCCCTGTCTAACTGCCTGTCTCCTGCCATCCCAGCTCCTCGGAGTGGAACAATGTGGACCCCTCGCAGAGGGAGGAGCTGCAGCTGAAAATGGAGGATGGCGAGTTCTGGTGAGTATCAGCACAGACAGATGGTGCCACTCTCTGGCACCTGCGAGGCAGGGCAGCCTGCAGCTTTGGCAGGCCTGAGGCGGGGCCGTAGGTTCTGATCCGGGGGAAGGGAGAATAGCATGCTTTGTCCTAACTGGCTGGAATCCTGCCAGATCAGGAGACTAGGAAAATGTCTCCATCTCCCCAGGGAATAACTCTGCTCTTCTGTGGCCCTTCCACCCAGCCAGTCGCTTCCGAGCTGGCCAGCAGAGCTAGGAAGGTGAAGGTCCCCTGGATGGGAGACTGGGAGCCCCCATTCCCTCACCACTGCTGACAAAACCCCCTGGCAAAGAGAGCCAGGCTGTGTGGAGCCTCAGTCTTTTCTCTGCCTCCCCTCCCCCGTGCTCAGGATGGCTTTCAGGGACTTCATGAGGGAGTTCAACAGGCTGGAGATCTGTAACCTGACCCCTGATGCCCTGGACAAGGACAGCCTGAGCAAGTGGCACACAACGCTGTTCGAGGGCTCCTGGCGTCGAGGCAGCACAGCAGGGGGCTGCAGGAACCACCCAGGTACCGCTCACCGCCAGCCTGCTCCTTAAGGGGATGTCTGTGCTGCAGCCTCAGCCTAGGTTCCAGTTCAGGCTTGGCATAATCCCCTTTCCATCAGCATGCAAATTGCACTAACCAGGGCTCTAATCGGGCAGGAGATCCAAGGGGTTCAAGCCCTATTGCTCTGTAGTGTAGATGCAGCTCTATTGGGCTCATGCTCAGGGAATCTGCCAAAAGTATCCTACGGGCCAGCTTCCTGTGTCCTCTGGACAGCCGGGTTTGGTGAGCAGGCAGGTTTTCTGGGACCGAACCATGAACAAAGCACTAGAGCAGCCACATCTATGGGAGGGTGCTAGGAGTCTGGGATATGAGTAGCTGGACTTGTGCCCATGATGCACTGTAGATGCTGAAGACCCAGGCTGGGACTCAGCGGTTCTTAACCAGGGATTACAAATGAGTGTAGACGCTCAGGCCCTAGGTTAGCAAACCCCGGGACTGCTGACTCCGGTTCTACTAACCCAGTGTAGACATACCCTAAGGTGCCAGTTTCCATGTGTGTGTGATCGGGGAGCTGGGTGATGCTCTGGGAACAGGTCTCCCATGGGGAGAGGTTGTGGGGCCTGCCGTTGCTCTGACAGGGGGCAGCCCATGGCAAGGAACTACCTCTGCAACCCAGCCCATTTGAGCCCTGCGACAAGGAGGGAGTGGCTGGTGATCAGAGACACAGGGCGGATGCAGGAGCCTAGCCCTTGTGCAGCGTCACTGTGGGGAAGTGGGCGTGATGGGGAGAGGAGGTTGTGGGCCCTGCTCACCTGTTATCCCGCATGCTCGTCCCTGCAGCCACCTTCTGGATTAACCCCCAGTTCAAGATCAAGCTCCTAGAGGAGGACGATGACCCTGAGGACAACGAGGTGGCCTGCAGCTTCCTGGTGGCCTTGATGCAGAAGCACCGGCGGAAGGAGCGGCGGGTGGGGGGCGACATGCACACCATTGGCTTTGCCGTCTACGAGGTAAGCCTCTGGGAGTCACTCAGCACCCCCTGAAGGTGGCAAATCCCCCTCCCCACCCATGTGGAGGCGGTACTAGCTGAACCCCAGGGAGAGCCAGAGAAGGAATCACAACACCCTTCCCTTTATTATTCCCCATGAGTGGGGTGGCACTTGCCACTTGCCCCCATAGAGTAGTGAATGCAACAGGGAGTGGTCAGGGGCTCTGATCCCCTCCCCCCACCCCGGTCCTAATCTCTCTCTCCTTCTTTCCACAGGTCCCAGAGGAGGTACGTCCTGGGCTGCCAAGCCCCGCCGTTGGAGTGTGTGAGGGGGTGCTGGGGTTGACAGGAAGGGGCCCATGCTCCTGAGATCCACCACCAGCCATGGGCACTTCCTTCCTCAGCCTTTTGTCCTTCCAGTACCCTGCTAGGGCAACCCCTGGCCACGCCTCTCCGGGGCTGGCAGTAGAGAGCATGCCAAAGTGGGCTTGGCGAGGTAATGCCAGGAGGAGCTGCCTGGTCTCGGCCTAGCTAGGGGAACAACGGGGCTCTCCTGCTAGGCTGGGGCAGGGAGAGCCCCCTGGAGTAATCACTCACTGCAGTGTGTGCACGCACATGGGGTGGGGCTTTCGCCTTGTCCTCAGAAGATGCAGTATTGGCCAGTGTTGAGAACAGCTGCTGGATTAGCTGGGCCGTGAGTAGGACAGGGTGAGGCTGGGCTAGTCTAGCAACTTCCTGGGGGTGGTCTGTTTGGGGTGGCTAGGGTTGGTGGGTGCCTTCCAGAGCAGTGAATCTGCCTCTGTGCTGGTATTCTCACCTGTCTGGTGCCCTGTGCCCTGGGCAGCTGCGTCCCTGCCCTTGCCTGGGCTGTTACACAGGGCTGTGTTTGGTCCCCAGGCCCAGGGCTGCCAGAACGTGCACCTGAAGAAGGAGTTCTTCCTGCGGAACCAGTCCCGGGCTCGCTCCGAGACTTTCATCAACCTCCGGGAGGTGAGCAACAAGATCCGGCTGCCCCCAGGCGAGTACCTCATCGTGCCCTCCACCTTCGAGCCACACAAGGAATCTGACTTTGTCCTGCGCGTCTTCACGGAGAAGCAGTCTGACACAGAGTGAGTCCACATGTGGGAGGAGCGACCAGGTCTCGAAATGGTAGCCCAGCTCAGGCGTGGCTTGGTTCAGGTGGTCCCTGGGCAGATCTGGCTGAGTAGGAAGCTTCTCCAGAACCTGCTTACATAGGGATAGGGAAGGGCAGAGCCCGCCCGGTTTGGGCATTGGGATTGGGGTCCCACACAGCTGTGGGGGAGGGACTTGACCCTGCCCTGTCCATCACTCCAGGTCTGTGCTACTGTGTCTCAGCACTTTGAATCCCTTGGGTGTCTGTCTCCACTCAGTTCGGGGGTAGGACAGGGTTCTCAGGAGGAGTTCCTTGGTCCCCTCTCTCCGGGGTCTCAGAGCTAAGGTTTCTATCCCCAAACCTCCTGGCCTGTCTCACCTAGCTGCACTAGGGGACATGCCATACAACCACCCCCATAGCCCTCCGTGCCCATCAGGACCCTGCTCCCCTTCCAGCTGGTGCCCGGCCCCTGCACTCACTGTGTCTCCCTCTTGTGTCCCCAGGGAGCTAGATGAGGAAATCACAGCGGATCTGCCAGATGAGGTGAGTGTCCACGAGCCTTGTGCCAGTGCCACCCCCTTTGGGAGCTTAGGGCAGCACAGTGCGGTCTGGGGGAAGAGCGCCTAGCTGCTTTAAAATGGCCCCTCAGCCAGAGGACAGCATACTGGGCGATGGGGCACGACTGAGGGAGGTGGGCAGCTGACCGTAGAGAACAGGTGGGGAGCTGAAGGGAAGCTGGAGGAGGGGTACACAGCTCCCCCTGCTGGCGCCAGGGCTTATTCAGTAACTTTCCCCTTGTTTCTGTCTCCCCAGGAAGAGATCTCCGAAGACGACGTGGACAGCTCCTTTAGGAGCATGTTCCAGAAGCTGGCAGGAGAGGTGGGCACTGCCACATTGGGCTCCATTAATCACCTATCCCCCGAGGGGCAGGCTAGGAGCATTCTGCGAGTCAGAGATGCGGGTGGTTGTGGTTACTGCATCCCTGCCAACACCAGGCCCTGTTGGGCTGGACACTGAGCACACATGGCTGAATGCTCCCTGCTCTGAACAGTCCCAGGCGCCACAGCAGGCGTGTGAACACCAGTCTCCGAGGTGGTGGGTGGGCAAGGCCAGGTCGCTCTGTATCAGTGGGGGGTCCATTGCTCAGTGACTCAGCCCCTCCTCCTGTCTGGGTGTCGGGTGCAGCCCAAATCCATAAGTACCAGAGAGCTGGGCCTGAGCATCCCCATTCCACACAGGCTGAGATGGGGCAGTCTCACTTCGATGTTCCGCCTCTTCCTGCTCCCATTTTGTACCTCCTGCAGCCTCAGTGTAGTGGGGCTGAGAGGCTGGGTGCTGTGCTGGCTCTGGCCTGTCCTTGGCCGGCAGGGAGATGCCGCAGGCCAGCACATCTCCATCACTGACAGCAGACCAGACCGGATCGCAATACGCCGCTGGGGGCAGGGGGAAATCCCTACTTTGGGGGTGATCCTAGAGGGGCCCAAGTCCCTGCCTGGCTCTAGGGAAACCCACCTCCCTGGTATCCCGTGAGCAAGTCTAGGCCGGGGACGGTGCACAGCTGGGATGTCACTAACCCTCTGCCTTCTTGCCAGGATATGGAAATCAGCGTGTTTGAGCTCAGGACTGTTCTGAACAGAGTCATCACCAGACGTAAGTGCTGCCCCCTGGCTCTCCTCCATCTCCATAGTTCTCGCTCCCCTGGGCCCTGTCTGCTCTGTGACTTGTTCTCCAAATAACGGCACCTCCTCCCTTCCTCCTGCAGACAAAGACCTGAAGACGGATGGGTTCAGCATGGAGTCCTGCCGCAACATGGTCAACCTGATGGATGTATCCTGCTGCATGCTGGGGGGAACCTCTCCCATCGGCACCCACCCTTCTTGCAGAGACCCTTTTTCCCAGGGTAGGGGTGGAGGGTGAATCTGGTTTGGGCATGCCGTGGGACGGGTTGGAGCCATGGGATGGGTTGGAAGAGCAGGCTTTCTGGAACAAGCTTTCACGTCTTCTCTGTGCCTGCTGCCCAGGGAGCTGTGCCTGTTCCAGCCCAGAGCCTGGCCACCCTCTTCTGCGAGGGGAAGCAGCCTGCCACTCTGTTCCCTCTCTTGGTGCACTCTCACGCCCCAAGCTGGGACCGTTTGTTGCCCAACAGTGATCTGTACCATCCCCAGACAGGGGCAGATTGAGGGAGACGCCTGGCCCCAAACGGGACTGAGTGAGGGTATGTTAGGGTCTCAGCCAGATTCCTTCAGTGCAGCAGAGCATTTCTCTCTCTGCCCTTCTCCCTCTCCTCCGCCTTCTGACTGCCAGGGCTGGAGGTGGGAATTTGACAGCTGCTGGTCTGTGCTCTCAGCTCACACTGAGCATCACTAGGGCAGTGCCAGAGAGAGGATCACTAGGGAGCAAGAATGAAACACCAGCACAGCCCTCCAAGGGGGAGTGGGAGTATGTGCCAGACTAGACTGACTTTTAGAGCCTCACTGATCCCAGAGCGCATCACAAATTGCATGTATACAGTGCCACTGAAATGCAGCCACCTCTGGGATGGGGCCCAGCTACGGTGGAACTGCCACACAGCTCAGCAGTATGAGGGAACCCTGTGCCCAGTTCACGCCACAGGAAGGAGAAAGGCAGGTTAGAAATTGGCCTGGCTGAAAGCTCTGTTCTTGCCAAAAGTATACTGGGATCTTGCACCCAAGTGGCCCAGGCCTCTGCCCTTTGCAACCTCTTCCTGCCCCTCCCTCCACTCAGAGCTAGAGATCCTTGACTCTGCTCCCCAGAAAGATGGCAGTGCCCGCCTTGGCCTTGTGGAATTCCAGATCCTGTGGAACAAGATCCGGAGCTGGCTGGTAAGAGAATGGTTTGTGGCATGCTGGGCCGAAAAGCACTCCTCCCTGCTAGGTGGGGGGCCGTGGAGCACGTGGGGTGGGGGGAAGGAAGCGCCAGCCTAATCTTCACTCCCCTGTTGTGTCGTTGCAGACAATCTTCCGCGAGCATGACCTGGACAAGTCAGGCACCATGAGCGCCTATGAGATGCGCATGGCTCTGGAGTCAGCTGGTAAAGCAGAAAGGGCTGGAAGAAGGGCCCTGGGTGGGGCTAGGGGATACATTGATCTTAGACCCTGTTTGAAAGTCCCTGGCAGCTGTAGCCAGCCTAGTACTCGGATGCCATCTGCTCAGAGACTGCCAGCCCTGGCAGTAGGGTCGTGCCTGCGGTCACCTGCTCGGCACGGGGAGCACTGTCCACACGGCTGTGGTCACAGCATTGCTAGCCCAAGGCCCTTGAGACGAGATGAATCTGGGCACCCTCCATCCACTCCAGAGTGGGCTGGCTTCCTGGCAAAGGGGAATCCTGAGGAGTGAGTGGGCAGATTGGGGGAGTGAGCTGTAAGCAGGGGGCTAGTGTCCTCCAGCCCATGGGCCCCTCATTCCCACATGGGCTGGATTCAGTTTTCACCTCCCAGCTGCCGCTGAAACCCAAAGGGGAGGGCCCCCTCTCTGTCGCCCATCCCACGCTCGCCTGGGGACTCAGGGCTTCCCCCGTTTCTGCCCTCCAGGCTTCAAGCTGAATAACAAGCTGCACCAGGTGGTGGTGGCCCGCTATGCCGATGCAGACTTGGGTGTGGACTTCGATAACTTCGTCTGCTGCCTGGTCAAGCTGGAGGCCATGTTCAGTAAGTGCCATCTGTAGGGCACCCACGGGCAGGGGAAACCCACCTGCGACTGAAACGGGCAGGTCAGGGGAACCCAGTGACATTGCCTGGGCTGGGGGTGGGTTAACACCCCTGTCATGGACTGTAGGTGGAAGGCTCCCCCCATTTCCCCCACAGGTGCTCTCCCAGCTAAAGGAATCCCAGGCTGGCCAAAGCCCGGAGCACCCCTCCTCCTCCCCCCTCCCCCACACCAGAGGAGCTCCAGGCAGGCCGAGAGAGGCCTTGTAGGCTCGTCGGGGATGGGTGCACCCACCACCCATTGGCACTAACACACACAGCATGGTCAGTTTATTAGTGCACTGGAACTCAGCAGAGGAAGGTAGCATAGTCCGCTCTGGTCAGCCCAGAGCCCAGCCAGGCTGTACTAAACCCCTATGGTCACGCTCTGTCTCATCTGGCCCCCGTGGTCGGACTCCAGGTAAGAGCTCCAATTCTTTCTGGTGGCCAGTTCCTCTTCCTCCCACCTCTCTCTCCAGTCCTTTGCTCTCCAGCTGGGGAGTTTTGCTTGAGGGTGGGAATGGGGCAGGAGTTCTCACCATAGTTACACTGATCTCAATCCCCCGGATGGACAACGCTGTGCTGGCAGGAGGGCTCCTCCTATTGACATGGCTGCCGCCTGCCAGGGAGGTAGATTAACTACCCCAGCACAAGAATCTCTCTGTTGGCAGAGGAGTGTCTTCATTTAAGTGCTACAGCTGCTCCAATGCAGCCTGTTAAATGTAGGACTGCTCTAAGCGCCCCTTTCCACCCACTGGTTTACAATCCAGCATATGGGGAAAGTGAGGCACAAGGAGAACTTGGTAAAAATATTCCCACTTCGTCACACTTGCTATGACTACAGCCTGGGTTTTCTGCAGGGAGGGAGGGGGGAATCTCCCTTCCATATCCTGATTCAGCCTGACCATGCTTACCTTGGTGATGTGACCTGGTGCCATGTGTGGGCTGGCTGTGAGTGGTGAGGTGCTGGAGAGTCACTAGGTGCAGTCAATGGCTCCCACATCACAGCTAATCAAGGGGTTGGGCATTCAAGGGAGGGGCTGTGGCTAAGAGGGGAAAGGAAAACTTGTGCCAGCTGCCCCCAGAGCAGCTCTCGCTCCTTCTGCCCCTGCAGGATTCTTCCGCAGCATGGACTCTGAAGGCACCGGCACAGCAGTGATGAACCTGACTGAGGTGAGTGCAAGCCCTGCAGGCAGGGGGCAAAGGGAGTTCTCCAGTGGGGCTAGACTTGGGGAAGCTGGGTGGATCCTGGAGTAAAAGGGGAACCTAGGTTGGGGAAGGGGGAACCTTCCCAACTCCTGGGGTAGGAGAAGGAGAAAGTTCTAATAAAAAAAAAAGATGGAGAGGGAGACAGCAGACTCCTGCCCTCGCTGGCTCCCTGCAGCTGGGCAGCATCCCCAGCTCAGTGAAATCTGGTTCCAAACTCCTGGGAATGTCCCAATAGGAACAGATCCTGCCAGGGGTCAGGTTTCTTTACCACCCCTGTCCCCTGCATCTGAGGAAGCCTCCTGCAGAGAGGATGTACCCGCCCCAGTGCCCATCAGAACCCGTGGATCAGAACAACCAGGACCTGAACTCCAACTGAGCTGTGGATCAAGGGAGTGGGCTTGGAGAGAATCATTACAGTGTAGCTCCTGCCCCTCCAACGCTGGCTGTTCGTTCACTGTCCCCTTATTGGTGGCCCAGTGCAGGCGCAAGCTTAGGCTTTGGGTTTCCCTGTGTGGCAGCCTGGGCACTCTTT